GGAAATGTTATGTTTTTAAAGATGAAAGCTGCCTTTAATATTTCACCAACTTTAATAATTCATCCTGAGATGACAGCCTTGGTCTGCTGTGCAGTGACTCACTCACAGACTTCTGTAGCCCAGGCTGTAGTCGGCTCCACTCTAGGAAGATCTCTTGCGTGTATCTCCGTATGTAAAGGAAAGATGCCTCTTCTGTGAAGCTAAGGACAAAATGCTCAGAAATCGGACACTGGCCTTCATACGAGTTCAAAGTTTTCAACCCAGCACCTTTGCCAAGTGTGTGGGACTGAAGGATCCTTTTACAGAGAGCAGAGCATGTACAGTGATAGTATCTAACAGTGTATGGACACTGTAGTGTATTTTTAGGAAGTGGGTGTGAGAATATGCTTACTGCAGAAAATCCCTCTTGCAAAATGCTAATTCTGGGGCCTTTATATTTCTGCTTATGCATATTCTTTGGAGGTCTGTCCAAGGCAGTTTTGACTGATTTCCTTATGTGTATCAAATGTACATGTACTGTGTGGGAAGAGCTCTAGAAGGGTGGGAAAAGCGAGCGCCTTCATCTGCATAGCAATAAGCTTACCTTAGCTGTTTTTAAATGAAGCAGGTCACATGTGTGAAGGAAAGTAATCAGCTGTTGGCATGAAAAGTTCTGTGTGCCAGGTCTGGAAGTGACTTGATTGCATCTAGTACTGCTTTGTAGGACAATTTAAGTTGTTGGATCAAAAAAACCCTCAGGAGTTAGTTCCAAGGCAGAAGGACTTAAAAAGGAGCAACTCTCTGAAGTTCAAAGAGCACATGGCGAATGTACCAGGCTGCTGCTTGAGTGGGATTTTTCCAAGACTCTTGAGAGGTGGAGTGTTATTTAAGTATTTGTTTAGAAGAATGTGTAGTCCACTCATGCAGGAAAGGTTCCTATTCACTTTTATGGTGTTGCTATCCTTCTTGTTGACTTTAGTTAAGCTCATAAATTAACAATCAAAGTCTATGGAGAAATTATGGCTGAGAGGAGAACTAGAAACCAATTTCCAGCATGATCATGCATTTTCATTTTTTTTTTTTTCAGGTAATTTATAGCTTCTTGTGATTAGGCAGACTTCAACAGGAATAGCTGGTTTTCCTGTTAGTGTGGAGAAAGGGACAAGATTGAAACATGGATGGGTGAGGATGTATGTAAACTTGCCTAAAAGACAGCCCTTTAAGTATGTTCTAGTAGTTTCCCATGTTGTGGGTTGTGAATAACACTTGCCTAAGTCTTTTCCTTGTTTGAAAGCCTTTTGGGGAGAGGACTAGGAATACAATTAAATGCAAGAACATGATTTTTACAACCGTAGTATTTTAGTCATTCACTCCAGTGTAACCAATCTATTTGGCAACCATCATCTTGCCATGTGCATGTATGTGTGAAAAGTGGAACCTTTTATCTCTTGGTAACTGTTGTAGCTCCGTACTGAAAGTACCTGAGGGTTATTGGAGCCTAGACAAACTCTGAGTGTAGAGGCATCTTGGCTATTGCAGCTAGGGATGCTGGCAGGTGCCAAGCAAAAGGTCAACAAATGTAGGGAGAAAATTGTATTCCTACCTTAAAAAAATCATATTCTTGGATTAGTATTAAGGTAGGATCTGGAATAATATAGCAAAGCTGAAGTTGAGCTTGGTCTGCACACAGTGGCTACAATTCCCTCTGTGGCTTCTGTGAGACTCAAAGTTCCTTTGAATCCTCATCAGGGATGAAGGCTGATGAGTCTTGGTATAGACATCCATGCCACATCAGCTTTAGAGTTGTGTTTTGATGCCTGAGAGATAGGGGCATCTGTAAGGGTTAACTCAAGCTGTAAAGCACTGCCTAATTTTTACAGATGGTGTGAGTGCAAGAATGAACCTCAGACTGGCTTGGCAGTTCACAGAGATAACTTTACATAATTCCCTGCAGATGTTGCTGCAGAATGGTTTTAATAATGAATTGTGAAGTCAAGCTCAACTCCAGCATAGAGGGAGAACTCAAAATAAATGCAATGTTTTGTTCAGTGTTTCAAAAGCAACTTTTCTAACAACATTTCTGTGATGCTCTGGGTTGGGAAAGATGGCAGGGGAAGGGATAAGAGATTGTTTGCAGAAAGTCAGGATTACAATGGCACAAACTAAGGCCAGTCTGTCTGCAAACCATGAACCCCTATGAAGTTGGGAGGGGTGAGAGAGAAAGGATGGTGGGACCAAATGGTAGCTGCCCTACCCCCTCTGAAGGGGGTATGGTGCAGAACAAGTACTTCATGGTCAGATAGGCAGAGATCTGCAGTTTGTGGCTGTCATGCACAGACTGTGTTGTGGAACTTGTCTGTGCTTCAGCCATTTTCTGCTAGGAGTTTGTTCATTCTTGCACTATGCTTTAGTTTCCTGGCTTAGATGTGCCATCATAATTCAGATTTCTGCCTCATAGGGAGTGAGCTACCTCTGCAATCTCTGCTCAGCCACTCTAAGACGGTGAACATCTTGCTTGTGAGCATCCGTTTTGACCTCTCTGCTGTCAGGGAGTGCTGCTGGAAGTTTTTCAGGCTTCTCAGTGGTTCAGACTGTTTAAGTCAAACATACTTTTTGTGTGTGTGTGTGGACATGCTATTTCAATGATCTGCATTAAAACCTTTCTTTTGTCCTTCTGAGAAGCAAGCTTGAAACAGAAGAGAATTTCAAAGCAGGGGCTAGTTTTCTCTGAACCTGGACAGATGCTGCTGATTTTTCAGTAGCTGAGGAGGTTTCTCAGGTATAATTTACCCCTGCATATAGTTTATAAAGGGAATCTTTAGAAGAAAATTATAATTTTCATGAGCTCTCTAGCAATGAGGAGCTTCAATCTTAGCGGTGGCTTGAAGAATCAAAGTAGCTTAAAACCTCAGTTAGACTATTACTATTATCTGTCTGCACATTGCAATGGATTTGGATGAGTTACCTCAATAATGACTTGACTTCCAGAAAGTACGTAGGAGCCTGTTCTTAAGATCAGTGGAATTATGAGGTTTCCCTGCTACGGCTTTTTAGAAGCTGGCAGTGGCAGTGGGGGGATATGCGTATGCATGTCTAGGTGTGGTGGTGAGGGGTTGCCTTTTTACAGGGAGCCCTGTTTAGATGGATGAAGGCTCAGCTACCTTATGGCCCCAAACACAAGACCTTAAACTCAGCTCTGAGGCCATGATGCAGCTCAGTGAGCCAAACTAGAGGAGATGTATTGTGAAATGGGCTAGCACTGTGTCACAAGTCTGGGCAATCCAGGCCTCCAAAGACGTTTTTACCATGGTTTGAATTTGGCTTAAGCACATGTTCTTAAGTGTAGGCAAGTTCTTTTTGTGCAGTTGTGTTTAATTTCTTCCTGAGGAAGAGTTTACATAAACTATTCCAGTCTAATTTATATCAGCTGAAAGCCAACTTCTCACTTTTTGTGCCAAATTATATGTGTATGCTAAACTGTGTTTGCTACCCATGTCAATACATTGCTAATAAAATAAAGAACAACCATGAAGATGTGTGTTTGAAACGGTCTGGCAGATCCTGCGTGTTCACTGCTGTGGGCTTCATGGCAGGAGAATCTACCTCCTGCTGAGGGGGAATAACTAAATTTAACTTTCCAATCATGAGCCTTGTGAAGCAAAGTTTCCAAACCTCTACTGGGCCAGAAAATGGAGAGCAGTGTCTGAGTTTTGAGAGTAAATAAATAGAGCTACCTAGCAGCTGTGTGGTTGCAAGTGAGGGGTTTGTTGCTTGGGGCACATTGTCTCCCAGCCACAGGCCCCAGGGAGGAGAAGGAGGGTTTGTAACTACTGCTCTCTGGTAAAATCTTCCATGACAGGGTTTGGAATGAACTTGGGTCACTTTTAGCATGAACACTTAAGCATTGTTGGGGTATTTTTTGTCTTTGAAGAAAGTTGCATGTTGGCAGAGCCCAGAGAAGCCTCCCTTCCCCAAGGCTGTGGCTGTCACACAGCTCGGGGCTTTGCCCCACCATAAATTAAGTAGGTTTTGTGCCCCATCTGTTTACAGACCAAGCTGGCTATTCACAGCACAGGCTTAGGATTCTCCCAGTGAAATTTGTTGGGTTTATGACAGCCCTCAAAGTCCATAAACTGTTTTGAGGTGCATGTTTAGAAATGCTGTCCTCTCAGTTCCCTTTGAGGAGGCTGGAAGTCTGGTGCTGAAAAATAGTTTGCATTGTCCTGACAAAGCAACTTGCATTTTGGGGGGAAACTGGGGGATTGTAGAAAACAACAGAAATGGTTTACCTGCTTGGCTTTCTATTGTCCTGTATCTTAACCCTGACCTTGCCTGAATGGAGCAGAATCTATTTATGCTCATATCTGAGAGCAGCAAGCTCTTGGGTGAGTGAGTCTACATCAAAACCAGTGGATAGTGGTAGAAGCTTGGATGTCCAGGTGGGAAGGCAAATAGCTGGTGCTTTTGGCCTGAAGTCACATTTCAGTTAGCTTTTCTTATATTTCTGTTCTGTGCAGTAATTCCCAGCTTCCCAGGGAATTGAATTCAGGTCATGTTTGTTAAACAACAGCTGTGGTGAAAGTGCTCTAGCAGCACTTCTTTTGTATCCTGTTCTGAAATATGTGCTCTTCTACTAAAGTCTTCTTTATTCCCATCTTTTGACTTCTGTGACCTCATCTATATACATACAATTGTTTTGATACTGTAGATGTACATGTTGTGAGATTTGCTTTGAGAAATTGGAGAACTCAAATCAAGAGTTGTTATGGATAGACTTCAGGTTTCTTAAACTGTTTGTTGCATTGTACCCTTTTTTCACAAGGCCTGCCTGCACGTTCATTTACTGTTGTGAGAGTATCTCATAGAAATCATATAATAGAACTAAACCCCTTCTCTAGGGGGTTTAGAATAATTCAAACCTGTACTAGAGCTCCTGACTCTGTGCTGCCTTTTCAGTAGCATCTTGCTATTCTTATTCCTCTAAATGTTGAATGAGCAACTTCCTTTACTTCTTTTCGTAGGTTGGTGGTTTGTGAGCACAGCAGAGGAGCAGGGCTGGGTCCCTGCTACATACCTGGAATCCCAAAATGGAACCAGAGATGATTCTGACATCAACACATCCAAACTTGGGGAAGGTATGGAAAGCTTTTTGTTATCAAGGGGAAACGGATATTCACTTGCTTTATGCTTTTTTCCCCCATAGGAAAACTCAAAAAACTCTTGCTGCCACTTGTGGCTGTTAATTTAGGGCAATAACCTCTTCTCTCATCTTATGTCAGTAAGATTGTTGCAGAAGAAACTGAAATACCATGCCCGTAATCCCTTTGTGACCAGCGTGGGCTGTCAGTGTGACTGAAGGTTCAATGCTCATTTTAATACTCTTTAAAAACACAAAGAGCTCACATGCAAGTCCAAGCAGTATGTTCTGGTAGAGGTCTTGGACTTTCATGTCAATGGAAGAAGAGAACTTGCATGGCTTGTTTGCAGAAACTACACAAGTGAAAGCTTTTAACTGGAAAAAGATGATTGTTAGAGCCACAGGCCATTGAAAGAATGAGAGTTAACTTTAATGGCTGCTTCTCATTACTATTTTTTTAATTAATCTTTGAAACTAGTTTCACTGCTGTTTGCTGTGGTCTATGATTTTGTGGAAAGGTAATTTTATTTGGTGTGGTCTCATTCAATTAGAACTGAGATGCCATTTGTCATGTATATGCATTTAGCTGTGCTGTTTTTTGGCTAAAGATGCTTAATTCAGGTTCCAGAAATGGAATAGTACAACCTCACATGTTCCCCTGTTCCATTATGAAAGACTAACCACATCTTAATAGACTTCTCATGTAGCAACTGTGTACAAAGGACACTTTTATTATTATTTGCTCCATTCTAATGAATCTCTTGCTAAATTTCTAGGTGCTTTTGATATGACATTTATATAAAACGTATGTGAAAACTCAGCTGACCTTTTCTTACAGGCAAGAGGATTAGAGATGTGTAGGGGTGACCATCTGTCCATTAAGATAGCACACAGGCAAAACATAACTTTGTGCTGGGCCCCAAGGGTGACATCTGTGGCTTATTGAAATCTTTGGCTCTGCAGCGTATTTTTCCCTGCTCAAAGCTACCCATATCCTGGGTCACTTAGGGTTTAGAGACAGACTGGCTGTAGACTGGTAGGCAAGCAACCAGTCTGGTATGATGCAACATCTTAGCGGATGCAAAAGCAGTTAGTAAAGTTTCCCTGTTAGTAAAGAACAAAAGCTTACTGCTCTTTTCTGAAAGAGTTGAAGAATGCCCTGCTTGTTGGTCTGTAACTTCCTCCCTTTTCCTGACTCTTAAATATGATGTATGCTTGACAGCCTTATTGCTTTCATTTCAAGCTCTCCTCTGGCTTTCATGTTGCCCTCTGGAGCATACTCTGCACACAGCTGTTGCCACACAGTGGTCTTCCCTGGGTAATGGAAAACCCATCAGATGTTCCTTATCTTTTTCCTTTCAGTCCTCTTTAATCCATTATACTGCTTTCCTCAGCTATGGTCATCAGTCCTGCTCGCTGCCTTACTCCAAATCCAGATATTCTGAAACCTGAGACTGTTCTTCACTTTCTGTTCAGTTCCATCTCAGTGACAAATGTAATTGCATTACCTCCACAGCTGCTTTGATGTGCCCCAACTTTCACTTGCTTTTCTGTAACTTTGTTTTCTGTTATTAACCACATAAGCTGACTCTTCTTTTGTTCTTTGTTGTGTGTCCTATTCCTGTGTCCCACCCCTCCCACCTCCCCCAGTTCTTTACTTGGGCTGTTCTGCTCCTTCTCATAATACTTACTTCATAATAGAGGAGAGGACAATTCAAATTCACCCTCTTTAGAGGGAAGTGTATAAAGGTGTACATACTTACACAAAAGTCTTGCCAGGAGGTAGGGCTTCCAACATAACTGAGGAGGAAGGCACTTTAAGTGCATTAAGTGCTCTAGCCTGTGGATTTAGAGTTCATAGAAGTTTCAGAGTGACTCCTGGAGATGTTGCCTTCCTGCAGCTGTGCAGTTTATGCTCTGCCTACTTTGAAAGGGTAGAAACACTAATGCAGGGAGCTTTCAATATCAGCCTCTTGGCCCCCTCTATTTGCAGTAGACCTGGAAGAAGTCCACAAGCCAGGCAGACTCGGAGGTCTGCTCCGCTGTGGCAGCCCCTTGTAAAGATAAGGAGGTGCTGAATGCAATGTACTAATAATGCTGCCTCTACATAGCAGTAATATTTCTATGTGTGTCTGTTTAAATAGTCTGTTCCCTTAGAAAGATAAAAGTGTTTCCTCCGTACGCTGGAGCCTGCACAATGTCTTTTGTCAGGATGAGTGTAGACAGTTGACTGCTACCTGCGCCTGTGTTTAGACCAACACCATCTTACAAGGCTTGGGAAACATTCAGAAAGCGATCTGAAGAAACATTTGCAGCTACAAGAGCTGTTAAAGTAAACATCTTAAAATGGTCTCTGGAAAGGTTTAGACACTTGTTGATAAATAACCTTTCTGGTGACTATCTCTAGTATGATCAACTAAGTCCAAGTCTGAGGTCAAATGGCAAAATTCAGTATTGTTGAGGAGACAAAAAAACTGACTTGTAAAAAAGCATCGTGATATAACAGCGCTATCACTGGGGTAGTCATATGTTGTGAGAAGGGCATGGTGTGGTGGATCTGTGTGACCCACTGTGTCCAAGGGGTGCTCCTGAATGGCTGAGTCCTCCAAACTCCTGGTATTCGGGGCAAGGAGCTGTAGGTGACTGCTCTGTGTTAACAGCTGAAGCAAATTTCTACCCTTTCCACACCCTTCCTGCAAGCCTTTAAGTTCGATGTCTTTCATTTCTTCCATTCTTCTACAGAAACCTCCTAATGCAGGCAGCTTTACTGTGAATTTAGCTTTAACTTCTCTCTCTGATATGATCTGTATGTCTAGTGAGATGTCCTGTGTTGCCTCTCATGTAGTGTGTGTGTAACTGGCAGCCTAATATCCTGTTGATTTGGGGAAAGCCACCTGGTTAAACCAATTGGTAAGAAAAACTATTCTACCAGTAGGGAGTGAAGACAGCTCATGTTCTGTGCCTCCAGGGGCTTCCAAGAGGATCACTGATTTCCAGCTAAAACCACAGTGATCTATAAGCTTAAAATCCAGCTCCTCTGAAAATTTGTGGTTTTTCTATGATGCACAAGGCACCAAAGGGGAAATACAGAGTACCACAAAGTAGGCATTGGGTCTGTTCAACACCACTTACCACACCTCCAGTTCACTAGGGAAGGTTTAGGCCTTATAGCACAGGAAAAGCTGAAGAGAGTGAGCTGGGTGCAGAAGTCTGGTCTAACCCCCTGACAGATATAAAAGGCAAAAGCTCCTTTTGGGGAAATTACTAATTTTTTTACTTGTTCAGCTAATCATTCCCTAACAAATAATTTTTCTGATTGTCTACAGAACATGATTCTATAAGACAATGGTGTCTGCTCTCATGGGTGCACATAAGCAGAGTTGAGAGATTATTGATGTCAGAGTTAACAAACAGTTTTCCAGTATCTAGCAGAACAGTTGTGTTTGCACCTTAGTGATAGCTGAAGAGTAATACTTCACATTGCTTCGTAGCAGCACCACACACCCTTGCAGTAGTTGCCAAACTAGTGTAGAAGCCCATGAATGGAAAAAGGGAACTGTTTGTGTTTCTATGCCAGTCCAGTGGTTTGTGTTATTCACACCTTCACAAGAATAACAAGGTCAGAATACAGTTCTATATATGTAATCCAGAAAAAAGTGGTGTCCTCTGTGCACAGCTGCTCTCTCAATGCCATTTCCGTAGGTGTCTTGTCTTTGTTTATATTTTCAGCATAGATTTTTGTCTCAGTGTCTAATTAATTCTCAGTTCTGGCTTGTTAGCTTCTTGAGCCTGCTCAATAATTGCAAGGTTAGGTTTTTCCTTGTATTTGTAATCAGTATATTAGAAGTTTGGATTATGACAATTAGCTGTGGTGGTGACTGAGCCGTGTGTTACAAACAAGGAGACATCAGACAGTTTCCACCCGGGTTATTTTTCTGGGTGCTGTTGTTACACATGAACTCGCACAAGAGAGACTGCCTTTGTATTTATCCTGTAGATTTTGTTTATAGTGTAATAATTTGCTTAGAGAGGGTTAGAGCCCTGTTTTGGTTTGATGTCACATGCTATAGACTGAAATCTCCAAAGATCATGCATCCTAACTAGGAGATGCAACAGCAATGTTGACCCAGCCTCCTTGGACAACTAATCTTCAGTTGTGCAGCTTGTTTTGGGGTGTGTGCATGTTTCGGGGATTTTTTTACTTTTTCTTAAAGAAAGCCATAGCAAGAGTAGCAATTTATGACAGTTCTAGGTGATTCGTGTTGCTCAGGCTCAAGAATCTAACTTGTTCCACTGTACTAAACCAAATTGTCTGCATGCCATGTAACCCATTCCTGTTAACAAGACCAGTGCTTGCAAATGCCATGTTTTGTTTTTATTCCTCACCTTCCCGTTATTTTTTTCCCTTTTTTGTTTTTATTTTTTCATTCCATGTTCCAAACTAGTTTCTAAGCGACGCAAGGCTCACCTGAGACGCCTGGACCGGCGATGGACGCTGGGCGGGATAGTCAACAGGCAGCAGAGTCGAGGTGAATTAATAGCTTCCTATGGCACCAGCCCCTAAGGGTGCACCAAAAGCCGTGCTGCAGCTTTGGCTGTGGTGTGCCAGGGTCTGCATCTTCAGCACTCTGGTAGAAAGACGCCAAAGCTCCAGAGTTCAGATGTGGATTTTGTACATGACAGCATGAGGGTGTCTTGGAACCAGGGTTAGGCACCCCAAGAGCTGGAGGCTGATAATCAAAGGTAACTCTGCTGTCCGACTCCTTGCACTGCGTGAGGAGGCTCACATCTGTTGTGTTTTAACTTTGGGCATATCTATACTCGGTCTTTCTTACCTTAACAAGGACAAGTGATACTTTCAGGGCTGTTAAAATCAGAAGAATGCCAAAAAGCCATGGCCAGAGATGTGTGCAGTGGAAAAGTGCTTGGTGTGGAAAGATGAGAATCATTCCAGTTTCAGCTTGCTCTTCCTTGCAAGCAGTGCTTAGTACTAAAGATAGACTTATTCAGAACTTTTGGGAGCCTTTGGTGTCAGTCCCGTGTGTTTAAAATACCACCAGAAGCAGTATTTATTTGTTGTTTTGTTTTAGCTTTGCTGATCTGACCGTGAGCCTTTGTTAGGGGGGTAAGCTCTTTGTGTTCTGAAGCTGTGGCTGGGTGAAGTCTGAGGTATCTTCCAACCCAGGCACTTCTCCAGTGCATGTGAATCATCTTCCCAAGACCAAATGTATCTCTTCCTATCCCTTTCTCCCCTTCTTGCAAGATTGTCCAGATGTGGTATTCATTGCAATTCAAAATGGAAAGAGGTGGGGGAAAGCACAATTTTCACTTCTGTAACTTCCAGCTTACCTTATTAAAGAGGTGGAACCAAATGTAACCACAAGAGAAGCTTCCCAGTTGAGGAAAATGTGCCTTTTCCTGCTAAGGAAACGTACTTCTAAAATTTGTCTTCTGGATTTGGTGGTGGTTCTTTTTGCAGACTTGTGTGTCAAGCACATACAACTTCTCAGTGACCTTTTACCTTTGCCTCAAAATATTATTGAGGAAGCCAAAATAACAAGAAGGGTTTTCTTCCTACTGGAAACCCTGCAGCAGCTGGAACTACCCTCAGAAGACAGAAGAACTTGTGCTTGTTTCTGTGCCTGGAGACTTTGGGAGCTACTTATTTTGCATTGTCAAATGCTTCCAGACAAATTAACTGGGAGAATTTCTGGGAATCAGTTTTCTAAACAATTTGTTTACAAGTTTAAACAAATATTTTTCATATTCGTATTCATACAACACAGCAAACAAAGCTCCATAAAATATTAAGACTGCATAGTCTTGCAGTAAGACTTGAGGACCTCAATTGCATTCCCAGGTTTTTCCTCTTTTATGCCCACCATTTGTGGGCTTTAGCTCCAGAACTGCCCTTCGACAGTGTCACAGTGTCCTCCCTGGCAGTCTTCCCCACCACAGGCTCCCCTAATCTCTTCCATCCCTGCCTTTTTCTTGTTCCATAACAGTTTCTTCCCTATTAAGCCCAAGCAATGCTGGGGTTTTGAGTGTGTTGGAGAACATGTGTTTTATCTCAAACTGAATCTCAGCACTTGAACTTGGCACAGACTGCAGCATCTCAAGGTTTGAGGCACCCTCCATGGCTGAGCTGCTTCTATAAGCTCTCTCCAGTGCATTTCAGCCACAGCTAGCTAGGCTGGCTAAAAATAACCTGTTTCATGTCATCTGGAATAGTAGCTTAGGGAGCTTTTCTTATTTACAAAAAAAAAAAAAAAAAAGCAGGCTCATTGGAAGTAAAGAAAGTGATTTGAATACTTGGGGACAGGTCAGAGACAGTGGCTTCATCATCTGACATAGCTGTAGTCTGTACAGACATTTATGCCTTCCAAACTGCAGTTGTTGAAAGTATGAGTCTCTCTGGGTGTCCAGTTTTCTGTTCTCTAAAAGAACACAGTTTATATGAGGTCAGGAGAGATTCTTTCTCCCTTCTTGCCCTCATCCCAACCTAAAAGCCTTCCCAACAAGGCCAAATTTGGGTGGGTTTGCACTGAAATGACAGAATACATGAAGTGTACACACACTACGCGCCAACCTTCAAGCCCCTGCTCCAAAGGCCAGAAGAACTAGAAGAGCCACTCAAACAGGAGCTTGCCAAAATCATTCGATGTAGGCAAAACAACTTCCCCTCCCCCACTTGGCCTCTTTCTTGGAAATAAATTCAATTAAACATTTTGGCTGCAATTCTCCCCACCCAGCGATATTCTGCTCGAGATAGTCCCCGCTGTTGGGTTAGCTCCAAGAGGTCACTGGAGTTTAAAAGCAAGCTGTAAAGGATGCTTCCCTTCATGTTTACGCTTGGGTACCACTAATAAATCATTTTTACCAACTAGGTCTATCATAGAACTGAAGGAATTATGTGTTGTTTCTGAAGACCAGGATTTTCTAAGTGACTTGGATATTAAAAACACTGGGAAACCCTGAGTGCAGAAGGGAATGGTGTTTGCTTCCCTGTTACAGACTGCCTAATGAGGGAGAATTATCAGGGATAACGTACTTATTTCTCCCCTTTCCAAAGCCATTTGAAGAGGCTAAGTATCCCTGAACTTCAGATAGTTGGGAGTTACTGGGTCTGTGAATAAGAAACATGACAAAATGTCATGACAAATTATTGAATATCACAGTAGTGCTCCTTTTTTAAAGCTGAAAAAAATCTGCAAAGAGAACAGCTGTAGTCTGTTTTTACAAAGAGAAACAGATGACATTTGTTGCTAAACTTTTCTCTTTAAAATGGTCCATGGTGTGCCCTGATCTAAGAGATTACATTGGTTTATGTTTCTTATGTAGCTGCAGAGCTTGTTTCTTTTACATGTTAAATGTTTTAAAATGTGGTACATTTTCTAAACTTTTGTCTATACATTACAGAAATCCTGTAATACAAATGTGGATTATAAGGAGAAGTCTGAATCTTTGTAGTTTTCCTCAGTCCTGACACTTGTTAGACCTGCAAGCTGCAGAGTTCATGTTCTCTTGTACTGGGCAAAATGCTAGTTCTACATATGCATTTACTTGGAACTTCCCCTGGAAGACAATTTAGGATTGTTTACAGGCTAATTTAATGAGAAGTCATTTGTGCTATTTGAGTTTGATTGGGAAAAGAGGGGGTTTACATGCCTGTTTTATATGCCAGAGATCTGACATAAGTTATTGCTGCTTTGGTTTTATGCCCAACACTTTCAACTGGAGCTCTTACAATGTGGGAAAGTACTTTAAAGTTATTCATATCTACAGTATAGTGACATATGGGCTGAATTTCTGCCAAATGAGCCTGTTATTTAAGAGTAGCTGCTAGCACAAGAAATAAGCTATTAAATGAAAGAGTTAAAGTTAGAACTTGGAATCTATAGGTCTTCTTACTACTTGCATAACTTATAGAGAGAGGGAGCTTGATGGGGGGAGATGGGGCGTAGAGGGAGGGCAGCCATGTAACCCAATAGTCTTTAATACTTGAACCTCATCTTGAGTTGGTCTTGATACTTGAACCCCATCTCCTACCCTGGGTGAGTCGTTCTGCAACCAGTTTTGTAGCTGTGGCAAGAGCCCTTGATCAGTCCTGGTGATACAGGCTGGCTGGTGTGCTTCTGCATACCACCAGAGCGGTCTGCCCTCTTTGGCAGCTCCCTCATTAACCACAGGACTTCTCCCTTTGTTTCCACTCTTTTTCGCTGCTTGTCCATGATGCTGGTGAAATGTTTGTCATTTACAGCACGAGGCTGCTTTGCTGTGCGTAAATCAAACCAGCACAGAGCAGCTTCAGACTTAGTTTGTTCTTTTTAGTTTTTCATCTGGGTTTTTTTTCCTCCTCTGTGCTCCAAGGAAAGTAGTAAATGTTTATTACCCCTTGCTGGTTGAAGAAAGAGCATGCGCAATACAGAACTGTTTAGAAGAAATGTCGTTATTGTTCTTTTCTATCTGTTGGCACAAGGTTTTCTGTTGTTTGAAACAAAAAAAGGAGGTGAAGGGGCTGCGGGTGAGGAACAAAGGCTGAAGAGCTCCTGTCTGCAGATGAACACATTTGATAACTGTGGACAGTTATTTTCTCTGCTGACTATTTAGACAAGTAAAACAAAGTCCATGTTGAATTAATGCATCGCTTTCTGGAACAGTGAGACTTTTTCCAGAAGCAGGTCTGACAAAGGGGGGGGGGGGGGGGGGTGGAGTGGGGGAGGGCGAGTGCAGACTGCTGACTGAGGGGAAAGTATTTTGAAAGAAAATTCTTCTGTGGTTTGGAAGATGTAGGTTTGGAGCTGTTGCATTTTGCTGAGAAATCATTAATTGGCTAATTTCTAACCCAGTTCCCCCCTATCCCCATCCCTACTGGCATATCAAACAAGGATGGGGTCACAGAAAGTTGGGGGTATGTACAAACACCAGCTGAGCAAAGGAAATTACTCCCTGACTTGGTTGGCTCCTGAAGTGCTGGAGATAACTTCCACACTTACTTGTGGAGGCAGAAAACAGTGAACTTATAAAATATAGGTGAAGGAGAGGTATGTGAAACGGGGCGCTCAGAACTTGGAAGCAGAAACGTATGAGCGCTGGCCATTTGCCTAGGAGAGATGAGGCTGATTATGCAGGGCTGGAAACGTGCATGGTGTTTTAGCTGCTTAAAGGCAAGGTTCCTGTCCCAAATAGTTTACAGCCTAAACAAAGAGAAGGAGATCCATGCATCAAAGGAACCTGGGCAAGTGGCAATTTGGCATGCATCTTACTATGACCAAAACGTTTTTCACAGTGGAAAGTGATATTTATTTGGTATTTTTAAAAGCTTTTAGAGAAGGGCTAAACCCAAGCTTGTTTGGCAAGGCAGGAAGTCAGGGTAGGTAAGGCTTATTTTTGAAAGGATTTGAGAGTTTCAGGTTATTTGATACCATGGAGGAGGGAGCCTGCTTAGGTTGATGAGGAATCATAAGAAAGGCATGGAGCTGAGTGGGAAAAGATGGAAGGATTTGGAGGAGTGGGAAATCCAAAGGGA